CTGCCATTACCATGAGATATGTAATTATCCACATACTTGCCACCTAAGTTCAATTTTTTCTAATAGAACTAGCATGATCAGCTTTAACTCTAATCTCAATAAGAATTTCAATATATTCATAATGCTCTAGGAGATGGGAGCTAATCTCCCAGAGCTTACCAGCTTTATTAAACACACTAATATTCCAAGAAACAATCATTGACCTGTGTTCTGCCGCACCAACAGATCCTTCAAATACTGTAGGACATCAAAGCCATTTTCATAAGTGATAGAACCTGAAGGATCTTCTACAACTATTTTTACACGATCCTTACCACTCTTGACCACTTCAGTCCTTGTACCATTTTTAGCATCTTTAATAAAGGGGTTAGTTGAAATACATGTTATCTCCTTTGCAGGGGAAGCTCTACTTTTAACAACTTTTGCTTCATTATTCTTTTTGTCTTCAACCTTCTCAGTATCCGTAGGAATGCTAGGATCCTGACCATAACTTAGATGTTAGTTTTATGCTTCAACTGCATCCCTTTAGTCTTGGGTTTTTCACATTTGTGACCTAATTTATGGCTTTTACCACAAAATAAAGGCCGTCACTCGTACTCGATAACTTGTTTCATTTTTAACCATCATTGTCCCTAATGATAATCTCTCTAGGTAAATCCTTATTAATGTCCATTTCAACAAGGATCTTAGCATAAGAATCCCTGAGCCTATTAGCCGTGATTCATCTGTCACTATTGGGTTACATAAAGCACTCCCTATCTTATTAAGGCTTGTATCTCCCCAGATATAGATTGTAAGGTGAGGTAATTTGACCCAAATAAGAAGAGTTTTAAGGAGGTCATTCTTCAAGTTGAACTCCAGACGCCACTCACGAATCAACAGTGGCATATTTTTGACTGAATAGGGGGCCTTCATTAACATTTCATCTGTTTCCCTGAAAAATTTGAATCGAAGGATAAATTACCCTGCCTCATGATAGTACATGTCAGACAATTGAACAAAATTCCAATTCTTAGTCATGAATTTTTTCACAGCATTCATACTTAATTCACCTCCCAAAGCATAGAGAACTAGAGATGGTTCCTAGAATTTGAGTTCATCAATAATGTCTTCTTCCTCTATTAGCTCTTCAATCTCTCCATTAACAATTTTAGGTGCTATATATTTCATGCTTCTTCCTTTAGCAGGATTCCTATTATCGTTCAACACATCCACCCATAATTTCCTCCCTTCATCGATCGATTTTAGGGTTTCTTTTGATTTGGATTTCGCTTCTAATTTCTCTTCAACTTCTTCCTCTTCCACTTTAGTGGAGCTAGCTTGGTGATTTATAGAGCTATGGTGAACAATCTTATCAACTGGACTCTTGGTAGCGATGATCATGTTGGTTTGATTTACAACTTCTAGCGGCGTGGCACCGTCTTTTTCGGACGTCCTCGCCCCATCCTCCTATGCATATTCCTTTTTTTTTGTAACTTATATTACATACTATATTATTTTTATTATTAGTATTATTATTATTATTATTATTATTTTAATTATTAATATTGTGTTAATTTAATAAATAATAGATTTAAGATTGTGGATATATATATATATATATATATATATATATATATATATATATATATATATATATATATATATATATATATATATATATATATATATATATATATATATATATATATATATATATATATATATATATATATATATATATATATATATATATATATATATATATATATATATATATATATATATATATATATATATATATATATATATATATAATATTAGATAAATATTTATTTTTTAGATTATTACTTATTATTTATATTATTATTATTGTTTATGTTATTATTATTATTATTATTATTTTTTTTTTATTGTAGGGTTAAATTAGTAAAATTAAAATTAGGATTTGTACTTAGAGTTGATATCAGGTTGACATGTGGTTAGGATTTCCATCATGACAAACTTGAAATTATATATACTAAAATATGACTGGCATATTGTGCGATTTACGATCATTAAATATTTTTTATTTTAAATTTAAGTTTTTGTGCAATATAAACTTATAGATTTTAATTCTATAAAACTTCAATATGTTATCATTTAAAATAAATAATAATAATAATTTAAGTATACATAATGAGTTATTTATATTAAAATTTGTTGATTGTTAAAATATTTCCTTTAAAAATATGGAAAAAATATAAAATAGTGAAATTTCTAAATAAATCTAGAGATAATCTTGTTTTTTTATGTTGAGTGGGAGAATGATCATCTCCTATAGTTGGAAAATTAAAATTTTACTAAGATTATTTGACGTAGTCTAGACATATCGCTATTCGTGTATAAGATAACTTTTATTTTGAATTTTCAATATATATATTGTGTTATCTATTACGACAACTTAATTGTTGATTTTCTATGTTACATTACATTTGCTATATTATTTCTTTCTTAATTATCATAATTTATTCATAATAAAAAGCCATAAATATAAATTCTTTCTTATTATAAAAATGTAATGATTTGTTGTTATTAAATTTATTATAATAATATGTTGGTATTGAATTAAAGTTCACATGAAGAATTAAAAATAGAGTGATCAAACTTTACATAAAAAATCTTATATATAAAAAGGTAATGATTTTTTGTTATTAAATTTGTTATAATAAAATTTTGGTGATTTGTAATTTTGGTGATTTGTCTTGAATTTTAGTGATTTTGTTTTGATTTCATTTAGTGACTAAATCATCTATATAATTTAAAAAATCCTTAATTTAAGAATTCAAAAACTAATCGTTAAGTATAATATAAATATTTTTCATTTAAATAAGATAATGAAATCATTTTATTATAATAATTTTTTGTTATTAAATTGGAGTTGGTGTGAAGAATTAAAAAAAGAGCAATTAAAGTTTATATAAGTTTTTTATATAATGTAATGATTTCTTAATGAATTGTTGTTAATAAATTTATTATAATAAAATTTTGGTATTCAATTAGAGCTGTGTAGCGATAAAAAATGTAGCGGGGTAAATCGGAGATCGAACTATGAATTAATTCGTCTCACAAAAGCAAGAGTCGCCACCGCGCTTTATTATTTCCAAGGGAAAAGGGAAAAGAGCGAAATAAAACCCTAAAATATGCAATGTAAAATAATACTTTTTAAAAGTAATGAAAATACAAGGCGTTTTGAAAAGAGGTCTAAGGTTCAGGGGTTGGTTATACAATGGGAAGGTATTAGCACCCAATGTATCTATAGTATTCTATAGGAACCTTTTGAAATATCTATTTATTAAAACGTTTGTTTGATTAAGAATAAATTGTTTTGGCCAAAAATGGGTATGGACGAGTTTTTGAAGATACGACGACCTAATGTCGAAGTTTTGACTTAAAAGGTGTGAGTTTTGAAAAATTGAATATTTAGGAAAATTATCTTAAGTTTTTTTAATGAAATGAGGGTATTCGCACGATTTTTTTTTTATGACATGAAGTCGACAAAAATTAAACAATTCCCTTGGATTTTGCAAGCGATATGAAAATTAGAACTAAAAGTATAAACACTCATGGAATTAAATCGAAATAAATTCAACCAACATGTATCATGGGAAGGAACATCATAAGGGGGGATAAATTCAAAAAAAATATAGCTTACAAACTTATCAATGAAAGGCTAACAAAATTAACTAACATGCTGTCCAAACGAAATATAAATTATAAAACTAAACTAATTAATTGGGTTTTGTTTAAAACTACATGGTTATTTAATTTTTAAACCAAAAGATCTAAGGAAATCAAAAGAACAAGAGGGTAAATTAAAATATATGATAAACATTAAGTATTGGGCGCTAAAGCCTAAATGAAATGGGATCCAAGGTTTTGTTTTGGTTACAGCCAGCTGCAGACTTACAAATGATAGGATATGTGGGAAATGAGCTGAAAACGAAATAAAAAGATCTAGCATAGGATTAAAAATCGAAATCGAACAACACCCTTGGTTTCAAACTCTCTTTTTCTCTCTTCGAACTCCCTCTATCAAATTCTGCTTTTCTCTCTTTCGAACTCTCTCTTCGAACTATCCTTCGAATCCTCTCTTCGAACTATCCTTCGAATCCTCTCTTTGAACTATCCTTCGAACTCTCTCTCTTCTAAATCAAACATTTTTCTCCTGGGTTCGAACTCTCTCTATCCACATCAAAATGGAACACTATGCTCCCCTAAATCGAAAACGAACACTTTCTAGCTTCGAACTCCCTCTATTCTAGATTGAAATCGAACACTCTGCTCCCCTAAATCGAAAACGAACACTTTCTAGCTTCGAATTCTTCCTAAGTCAGAACGAACAACACTACTGCTATGGGTTTCGAATTCTGCCTAAGTCAGGACGAACAACACTACTGCTATGGGTTTCGAATTCCGCCTCCCCTAAATCGAAATCGAATAATAACCCAATTTCTGACTCTTTCATGCATTTAAACCACAAATCAACAAGGTGACAAATATTCATGGCAAGAGAAACAACAATAACAAACTAAAGGGGGTTCTGACTTATTGAAACATCAACAATAAAAAATGCAGCAACAACAACTAATTCACAGCATATATCATTATGACAAGCATGGCAACATATTTTGAGGGAAAAAAAGTAGTGAGGAAACTTACAAGATCAGAGCAAGTCTGATGGTTTCGATTCTGACAATGAAATAATAAAGAAATCCAGAGATGAGGTAATATGCCTTTTTTAATTCCTCCTGCTCTTCTAAAAATCTGTTTGTGCTTATTGATGATATGTGGAACGGAAATTAAGTAAAAAGTGAAAAAAAACAAAGTACGGTGGTTACTGTGTTGTTGAACAGAGCGTGTGAGCCAGTTGAGGTTTGAAGGGAAACTGATGTAGTTGATGGTGGAATGAGGAAGAGATGTTATAGTTTGTGGGTTTTTCGAAAGTGGCTTGCTGTTCGGTTCGAAACAGGTTTTGAGTTATGCAGGCTTGTGTTTGCAGGTTTGTGCTTGGTTCGAAACAAGCTTTGGTGAGGAGGGCAGGCTTATGCTTGGTTCGAAACAGGCTTGGAGTTTATGGTGTGAGGAGGTTTCGATGCAGATTTGTGTTTCTGCAAGTTCGAAACAGCTTGGCAAGTGTGAGAACTTGCAAGTTTGTGCTTTTTTTTCTTTGTGAACTCTTTTTGAACGCCCCTCCCAAACGATTGCATAGCTGCTTGCTTTTATAGTGAAAGAATGAGGTTTTGGGAGGGAAGATTTTGGTGAGTTTGAACATATGGAACAATCTGATTTCGGCACTTTTCTGATACAATTTTGGTGTGTGCCATTTGAGGCAATTCTCAGACAGATGTGCACAGGTTTGTTGGTGGTGGAAGCAGTTTTTGTTGTGGAGGCAGCAGGGATTTGGACCGTTAGTGGCATTACATGCAGGGACCAGCAGAATTTTGTACTGAGCTTGGTGCATGTGAGGACAAACTTGCGCAGCATAAAGACAAACTCATAGCATAACAATATTAATAATAATAGTAGTGACAATAATAATAAAAACTGTTAGTAAAACTAAGCTAAAAAATATAAAAGTGAAATAAAAGATATTAATTTTTTTGAGTTTTTTCAAATAAAGTGATGCAAAATATATAAATTATATGTAACTAAGGTTTTTTTGATAATTTTAAATTAATCATAAAGAACTTGCAAAATAAAATTAAAAGAATGTGAAATTACTATTTTTTGAGATTTTTTTACTAACTTAAATCTAAAAACTATAATTTTAACTTAAATGATACAAGAACAAAAAAAACTAAATGAAACTTAAGGAAACTAAATTTTTTTGTATTTTGAATATTTTGAATAAACGTAAATAAAAATGAAAAATAGCATGAACTAAATATTTTTAGGATTTTCTTTTTTTATGGAAATAAAAATAAAAGAAAGATGATAAAAAATGAAAAAAAAAAAAACAAGATTTAATAAAGTCGGACAAAAAACAGCTAAATTTCACTAAATTCACAACCATTTCTAATATTTCTATTTTTTCGTGGATTTTCACAGCATAATCATCTCTTGACTTGTAAAGAAAAGTTGTAGTTGTTGCAGAGGAGAATCATATGTAAAAGAACCACTAAAAAAATTGAAATTTGAAGAAGTTATGAATTTTTGAAATCTGACTCGAGAATTGGCAAAAAAAGATTGAAACGCTTGTGAACGCTTGCTATGTAACAATGCAGATGGGAGGTGGTATCTTAGGTCAAAATTTGGGGTATGACAAGTTGGCGTGTATGATTTTTTGTTATTAAATTTATTATATTAAAATTGTAGTATTGAATTGGAGTTGGTGTGAAGAATTAAAAAAAAATTATAAAAATTCAAAATTCTAATATAATACTACACAAATATTAGGATTAGGAACAAACACCTTTGAGTGAGACACACCACTTCTCCATTTAAGGTAGCTAGTCCTACACTATGTATCAATGTTCACAGTATCTTCCTCAACAAGATTAAGATAAGATTAGTTAGATATGCAAAAATGATTTAAATTAGACTTTAAAAAATTAATGCAATGTCGCTAATATAAAATATAATTAAATTGGAATTATACGATTTAAGAAAATTGGACGAATTGTTTGAAGATAATATGACTTAATAGGTTCAACAAAATATTAAAAAAAGTGTTACACTGTTGGAGAAGCTTTTGATTTCTATTACTTTCTATTTGGTTGATGGTTTGATGCAAGTGCAATTTGTTTTACATTAAGATTGAATATCAAATATTAGTTCAACTCAATTTTTATTTTATTCGATTAAACAAAATTAAAAATTAAAAATTAAAAATATTAAATTTTTAGTTAAATGAATCAATTTTATAAAATTGACATATTAAAATATATTTTTATAACATTTTTTAAAAATTTTATTGATATACACTAACTATATTATAATATTTTATATATTAATTACAATCGATAGATTTATGTAACTGTATTTTTCTTTTTTACTTTAATTGCATTTAAAATATCACATGTGAATGTTTGTGTTACATCAATTGTGTAAAAAAAAATATATTGACTATGCATAAAAAATTTATCTCGATTTTAAGGTAGATGATGATTTTTATATTTTTTACTAATACTATATTTTAAGATATCACATTGAGATGATGCATTACTATGGTAGGTATATGCCTCCGGTGCAGTGGAGAAATAGCTGACCTACAAAATTAGCACTTAAATATTTAAGTTTGTGAGAGAATTAAGAATAATATGAAGGTGAGAATAAATTTGAATAGTACATTTGCCTTCACGTGTGGTACCTTATATAAGATATTTGGTTGAGATGTATCGGAAAAATCACAAATCTCATATTAGTTGGAGATAAAGCGTTTGAAAAAGTTTATATACAGTGACATCTTTCATCTTTAAAGTCAGTTTGATAAGGATGCGTTAGACCAAACTCTAATACCGTATCAGAGTCTATTGATCTGACCATGGACCGTCTACCGTTTATATTCACGCACCAAATCCAACAGAGTGTTGGACATGAGAGGGTATTAGAAAAATTCCAAATCCCACCCTGATTAGAGATAGAGTCTTGAAATAAATTTATATAGAGTGACAATCCTCACTTTAAAAACTGATTCTAATAAGATGTTCAAGGCCTAGACCAGATAGGGGACTTTTCTTTATTAGGCCTTTTGGCCAAAGCATGACAATTTGTATTTAGTTTTTTTCTATCCAACAAATACTAAACTAAGAGATAATGAACCATTTCGTTAAATCTAGATAATTTAAAAGGTATATAATTATACTTAAATGCAAGGAAAACATGCAACAAATTGTATCGCTACCTTTTTTTTTATTTTTATGTTGATACACCAATCGTCTTAAAAATTAAATTTTCCGCCTAGAAGACACTACGTTATTATGCATAAGCTTTTAAATTCTATGTAAAACGTTCACTTCTTCTAGTGTTAAAAAATTAAAAATATCAAATGTTAATAACATGAAAGCATATTAATTGTTCGAACACGTTTTTTTCATACTTGACCACTTTACTTGAGATAAATTTAACGACTGTATATCTTATTGTAAAACTTCAAAGTCCTAACAAATAGAAAACTCCGATTACACTTGTATATTTTTCTCCTATCCACTCGTACACTAAAATATTAAAAGATATCTAAAATAAAATATATGGATTAAAAACTCAAGTCTTCGTAATATAAAACTAAGTACAAATTAATTAAGTATGAATAGATATAATATAGATTTAACAAGATGATATTTAATCTTTTTAATCAAACCAATTTGATGACTGATGAGCTAAATAACAATAAATACTTCAAATGGTTTGTCCCTTATCAACGCTTCACTATTCTTGACACTAGGGCCATTGAGACACATGAGTCCTCACCATATAACTTGCTAGCAACAAGGGGATTCCTAATCTTGCCGAAATGCACCCCTAAATGTAAATGTTGTTAATAGTTAAAATGACGACAACCTTGCACTCATGGATTCCCTCCAACACCATCAATTTGTTCTGCTGAGTTGTGTGAATTGGAATTCCTATGTGGCCAAACAGTATAACACAACACATCTCAAACTCACATTCCAACCATAAATCCACACTTCTCTCGTGCTTTTCTTGTTCTAGTAACAAGTCTCACACTTTCCCTTTTCCTTTATATATAACAGCATATATTATCGAGTCTCATGACAAATCAACAATCACATATTAATCAAAAGCTTATGTTAACTTAGTACACTAGATTTTGGTCTTCTTCTTTGTTGTCCTATACTTGTAAAAAAATGACATTTATTTCCAGAGTTGTTGCTCCATGGTGCAAGAAGCTTATTGAAAATGGACATGGTGATGTTTGGTATGGCTATCCTCCTATAGTTTGTGATGAAGGAGACGATGACGACGATGGTGGTTATGATTATGCTCCAGCAGCATAAACTCTTCATTTGTCTCATTGATTTTTGTTGCTACTTCAACTAGCTAGTATTAATTACTACTACTTAACTAATTATAGTGCGACTCTTCTTTTTGGTTATTAGTGCTAAATGAAAAGAAAATAGAATATCTACTCTAATCTTACCTATTACTCATCAGGTGATCATTTTATGGATGATGTAGCATTGTAACCTAGATTTATTATATGTTTGAGCAGCTTTTGTTATTATAATATACTTGTATATCAACTTCACACACACACACATATATATATATATATATATATATATATATATATATATATATATATATATATATATATATATATATATATATATATATATATATATATATATATATATATATATATATATATATATATATATATATATATTATATATATATATATATATATATATATATATATATATATATATATATATATATATATATATATATATATATATATATATATATATATATATATATATATATATATATATATATATATATATATATATATATATGGTGTAGTAGTATTACACTCCAATGATGATATTTATTAACTCAATGAGAATTGAAGAAAGGTTATACATATTATAAGCTGTAGTAGTATTATATATGAGCTTGGTGATTTCACTTGGTCATCATAACCTAAACAAATCCATCATAATTAATTTGACCATCGCCATCAACCTCATCCTCTCAGAGTTATTTCATCAATTTTTTCACCAGTTAGATTCACACCAAGTCTGATCATTTCACAACAAAATTTAGCAGATAAAAGAAAAACAATTTAGGTATTTTTATTTAATAAGTAAAATTTTTAAAATTTAGGGTTGTGGTGATACTATTTTATATTGGATTATTTTATTAGTTTTATAGTATGTTTATTTTTACTTTTCAATAGGCAAAGATCTATTAAAAGAGAGTATAAGGGATACTTTGTCTAATAAAACAACACAGAAAGCCCCTACTTCTTAAAATAAAGGAGAGGTACAGTATTCCACTCCTCTGCGATAATACAAATGGAATACTCTGCCCACAACCTAAGAGCTATAGCCGACATACAATCATTAAAATTGAAAACCGATCCTTTAAATTTTTGGCATTTCCCGTCAAGCATAAACTCCAAACTGTGGCAAGCCAAATCACGACTATTGTTATCCTAAGCAAGTTTCACTTCACCTTCTCGCAATGAAGAAAATAATTCACCAAATACGATAAAGACAACTCCAGTCCGATACCAATCCAACTGTAAACCTTCTTTCAAATTCTGATCGAAACTCACAAATCCCTAAGAGATGCGCTGAATTTTCATCTTCCGAAATCAAAAAACACAAGTTCTATTCGACAAAACTCTCCTTCTTAACAATTGGTCTTTGGATGAAATCCGATTTAAAATTATTCTCCATCCCGGAAAAAATTGAATATAAAAATGGACTTTGACCTCCCATAAGAAGAGAAACAAAAGAGCGATCTCTAAAAATCTCAAAACAGGACTTGATCGAGAAGTTAGCATCGACTGCACTCCGCCACACATACTCAACAGTCTCGTTACTGTCCAACGAAGTTCCCTGCAGCACGATCTTGAACTCATCCTAGATTTCGGTCTCCATACTAGCATTATTCTCTACCATTTCCTCGAGAGTCCAGGACCAAACTGCCCCCTCCTAGCTCCATGCTTCCTCTACGTTGCAGTACATACTGCTAGCATACTGATAAATCTAAGGAAAAATAGACACAAGGGTTTGACAACGCAGCCACATTGAATTCCAAAAGGCAAACCCTTTACAATTTTTAATTCTGCATAACAACTTACGAACCGATTCGAGATAGCTGTAACCGAAATATCTGACAAAATTAAGTCCCACCACCATACGAAATCCTTGCTTTGTAACACGTTTTTGTCACCAATTTGCACTTTGGTTTCGATATTACCATATCTGCTCCTAAGAAAATTAGACCAAACCACATATTTGTCCTTCAAAATCCCTTGTTTCAAGTTATTCAATAATTCCATATTCAAAGCATCCACATCTTTAATATTTCACGATTTTGAGTTTATTCTAATAGAGACTAATATTATGTTAATACTAGGTTAAGTTAAAAAGAAATATATTGTGAAAATGACAAGATTCAATTTCAATATACTCTTATATGTGAGACAAAGACCAGTAGCAATCACAATAAATGACTTTCAACAATAATAATCAATAATCAGAAAATATAATATAATAAGGCGAGATAAGACGAAGGGTTTGTTTATCCAGTTAGATCAAAAGATCTACTCTAGGGAGAGAGCATTGCTCTAAATTACTATAGTCAGAAAAGTTATTACAAGAGATTACAAATCAGTTACAATAAAATAGTCTTTTCTTTTAAAGTTCCCAAAAACAACCTTGAAGGCGCCCAAAAACAAAACCCTATTTTTTACCCAAGTGTTCCTCAAACACTCTAACTCTCAATAATGTAAGCACACAAATCCAATGTGTAAACAAATGTTTCACAATCCCCTTAGATAACTCCAAAGATTTTCCAAAACTCTTATATTTCTAAGTTTTCTTTTAAGACCCTAAACCTTTTACCCTACCTTTTTGCTATAAACTCTAAAATTATATCCCTGTAAAACATTGAAGAGATACATATTTATAATAAATAAAACCCAACATACAAAGCTCAAAATACATCTCATTAGTTATTAGAATAAATTATTATAAATATCTTATAATATAATATATATTGATATATATATATATATATATATATATATATATATATATATATATATATATATATATATATATATATATATATATATATATATATATATATATATATATATATATATATATATATATATATATATATATATTATTTTAAAATAATACATATCCAATATTCTAACATTAAATAAACGGATCCACAAAGCGAATAGGTTAAACTCGAAATCTAGAGGACCGCCCAAATCAGACATTCCTGCTGTTTTTCAGCTTCCTGAATTTTACCAGACAAACTCTTAATCACAGACAAAATAAAAACAAAGAAACGTGGTTCCTAAGTATCAAGGCTTCTAATCCAAAGTCTGAGAGATACACAACTCCACAATGCTAGGATAGTAACCAGATAGTCCAAGTAACCTAAAAGTTTTTTAACGTTCAAGTTGATTATTAAGTGTCTTCAAAAGAAAATAAAAGCTCAAATGAGCAAAGATAAAATGACATAAAGATAAATGCTCAAGTGAACAAAAGGAAAATGACATGAGATGTAAATGCTAAAATAAATGCACTACGCCATATAAGGGGTGCTGCTAAAAGCGCTTTCGTAGGGGTGCTGCTAAAAGCCAAATTTGGTATAGTGATGGTACATAAAAGTAAAGGTGCAAAATAAATACATAAAGTAAAGTTAATTGTTAGTGAATTAGAAGTTAGAGATCAAGTACAAAAGGTTAGTTGAATGACCATCTTGAAGCTTGCTTTTTAAAACTCATTCGAAGATTAATAAAATTATAGCCTCTCAACAATAAGTTTCAATTACTTTTTGTAAAGTATATCATTCATTTCTAGTGCTCAAAGAAACCACATTTGATCAACGATGTTCAAATGATTCACTTAGACCAAAATTCATAAAGTTCATTAGAGGATTGATAAAATCAAAGCCGCCTAACAATGAACTTTAAAATTATTGGATTAAAGGTTTTAAATTAAACATACTCGGGCTTGGAAACATAAGTTTGGACCATAAATGATCATATTTTGAATCGGCACAAATTTAGCGATATGTTAAGCAATCATAATTGGACTTATGCAGAAGTCACAACTATTTTAAGTCCGGTAAGTAGAAATCTATGTACCAACATGTTAGAGAAATGATATGTAGATCATTCTCCAAAGACATGTAGCAGAAGTAAAAACAAGAAAGGGATAAGATGAAGAGGGGGGAGATGTATCAAATTAAACTAGGGTTTCAAATATCATCAACATCATTCATCCATTTTGGTGGATTTAGTTTTTCAACCTATCAACACCTAATATCAAATGAGGATGAGAAACTTATTCCAAAAAAAATACTCAAGTGTCTCTAAATCAGGACCAATAAAAAAATAATAAAATATATTTAATATAAAACAAAATCTAATTGATTTAAAAAAGAAATAATTGGTAAAATAAATAACATGTATTAAAACACCAAATGAAAATCTTAAAAAAAAATCAAAAGTCAAACATGAGTCAACAAGTGTTGAAATTGTTTTTTTTTTCAATTTTTTAAAGTCAGAAACTATTTTTAAAATATAAAAAAATAAGCAAAATAAACCCAAAATTTGTGAAAAATAGTAAAATAAAAAATAAAAATAAAATGAGGTCACCAATAATTTTCAAGAGGTCATTAGATCCTTCCATATTTTTTTTCAGAATTTAAAAATAAGAAAAGTGTTTTTAAACAATTAAAACAAGTCAAATAAAGTGAAAAATCATTAAAAAAAAATAAAATCATGAAATAAAATTGTGAAAAAATAAGAGTCAATAAGATAATATTTGAAAATATTTTTGTGAAATTTTTCATAATTTTCAAGTCAGAAAGGAATGTTTTATGAATTTTTGAATTGTGACCCGAAGAAAGTAGCACATCATTTGCATAGAAGGGGTTTCATTGAAAATTATTGGGTTTAGACATATAATGGTGATGAATTACCGAGTAATGTACCCTGGACTAGCAACACACATGCTTCAAGTAGTCGACCGCCTATGGAATATGAGAAAAACTTTATTCTGATCAGTGAGATGGTTGACGATGCTTTTGGTGTGAATGTGACATACGATCAACCTGAAGATTTTGACGGGGAAGAGTTGCCAAATGAGAAAGCGTAGAGATTTTATCAGTTGTTGAATGAGATAAATACGCCGTTGTTCGAGGGATCGTCAGACTCAAAGTTATCAATGTGTGAGAGGTTATTTGCTGCCAAGTCAAATTGGAATGATCCTGATGAGTGTTTGGAACGTTT